TGATAGCACAGAGCAGAGAGAAACCTGAAAGCGGCCACGGCGTTTTACTTGATACCGATTCTTCAACATCAAACTTTGATTCTTCAACATCACATTTTGATTCTTCAACATTAAATTTTGATTCTTCAACGTCTTGTCTTGTCTTAAAATAGAATAGAATAGAATAGAAATTTGTCTCAACTTTCAAACTGCAAATTATTGCGGTTGAATGCAGAAAGAACCAATGAACATTTTGCCAAAAATTGGTTACACGCGCAATGTTTCACCTTGTATCTTTACATCATGAACAGACCCATTGCTGGATTCATCGTGAAGTTGGCAGCAGTGGCGAACGAGATGTCAACATAACCTAGCAGAACCGAATTGATCCAACACTGGGTCAAGCTTGTTGCACTTCGATTTATCGAGAAGATGAATACAATTATTTATTGAAGTTCTGCAAGAGATTTCCTTTGTAACCCTGAGGTGGCGTTGGAAGACGCGTACAGCTCCGATTCTAACGGAGCAGCTTTAAAGAAAGGTCTAACGTTGACTTTGAGGTTTGGAATACGTGATACTTAATGCTTGCTCATTATTTCAAAGGAACGTTGAAAGCTTACAAAATGAATGATTATAGCGAGGGGCGTCACGACGCTCGAACATGAATACGTCCGCCAAGTTTACTCTACGCGGCGGTGACGCGGCGTTCGCCGACAGGCAGCGATTTCTGTTCGATCAGCTCGCGATCGCGGAAAGCAAGTGCAACAAGCATGACGAGTCTGAGAAGGGCGAGGCAGCGGCGGACGAGCGCGGGAAGAGGTCAGCCCCGGCCGACGATCGCAGGCAGAAGAGAGAGACGAAGAGATTTCGAGGCAGGGAAAGTATCTTCAAGCGTCCCGAGGGCCCGGCGCCGCGCGCGAGCTTCCGGAATATTCCGGATTACCACAGGAATCCGCACAAGTGGGTCCGGTATAGCCTGGACGACGTGTCCAGCGAAGACATGACGGAGCGCAGCAACACGCAGGCCGCTATGTCGTTCCTGAGGGAATTGAAGGCGCGCAGGAGAGAAGAGGAAGCCGAGGAGCGCAGGGAGGAGATGGACGTTGATCCCTGCGAGGCCGAGGATTCTACGGGGACGCGCTTCAAGTTTAAGAAGCGTACGTCCCAGATCGCGTTTAAAAAGCCACCGAGAGAGGCGGCGAGTGACGCGGCGAGTGACGCAGTCGAGGAGCTGGACGAGAAACCTGTATTTAGAAGCAGTAAGATCATCCTGCCGGAATACGTCATCGGGCAGAAGCCAAAGGGGACACGCAAACAGAATCGACCGGCGGTTAAGGTCGACCGCTCGAAAGAACTAAGGCTAGACCATTTGCAAGAACCCGACGAAGAGGACGATGACTGAGCCGAGTGTACAGTGTATATAACATTATTGTTGCACAATTACTCAATGAGTCTGACTGTGGGTATTTCCGCGATAGGAAATTCACGAGGGTTCATAAATTTTGGTGTATAAACACTTGTTAAACCCTTTCATGACCGAATTATTATTTTTTTTAATGGGACACTAGCACTCCGAGGAATCAAAGAGGCGAAAAAAAGTACTTCTGGTCGTGAAAAGGTTGTATATTAATCTCATAGTTATACGGTATCTACTGCAAATAAGATTGCGCGTTACCCTGGTAGTGCGGTGCATTGACTGAACATTGGCCCAGTATTGGAAATGCATTAGGCAACTTTTCCAAATGTAAAGCCAATATTGGCCGTGGAATAATGTAACTGTCATGATGCAATATTGCATAATAATAATTATATAATATTAAATTTATACTGGAAGTGCATTGGCCAGTACTGAGCAATGTAACACGAATATGCAAATCGAAAGTACATTTGCTAAATAAGAGGAGACGTCCGTCTTACGCTTCGTCAATGTTGAAAATATTAAATTTATATATTTCCCAATGTATTGCGCTACTAGGGTACATATTACAAGAGCAAAGTTCTCTCAATACTGTGAGACACGTACGTGTATGTAATTACAATAATTAAGCGTAGAGTTAAATATAAAGACATCCGAGTGTGCGATTATTTTATCTGCATTCTGTGTAATATAGAAAAAAAGACGAATATACAAATATATCTCTTATTACAATGCGAAAGATGCCTATTTTCGACGAGCGAAACGACTACGTTGTATTTCACTTTTAGTGCCGAGGGTGTAGAAGGTGCGCGGCGAGTGCAGCTGCGCGCGAACAGCCTGCACCGAGTGCGCGCGCGGTGCACGTCGCGTCGCGTTAGGTTAGGTGCGCTCGCTCGTGCGCGAGGTCATTCGCCGGCGGGTGAGAGATTCGAGAGAGAGTTTCGCGGCTGGTGATGTCACTCGGGGCGACCGCCTGAGCTGCGTCGAGACCTCGGTAAGATCGCCGTCGCGGGGACGCCAACGCGACCGACACCGGGACGCGCTTTCTTCCGCGGCGCGGGGAGGGGGGTGCGTACATAACCTGTACGTACGCGTACCTGTCGCTTCGATTTTCAAAATGGCGTGCCGAGCGTGAGTGGCAAGGAGAGGCGAGGACAGGCACTCGCTCCGTCGTCCTTGTCGTCGTCGCCGTCGCCGTCGCCGTCGCCGCCGCGACATCCAGCCGTGTTATCCTGCCGTCGTAATCGTCGGGTCGCGAGCACGTGTACGGTGCCCCGCTCGCGCGCCAAGTTGCCCCCCCTCGTGAAGGAAGTTATGCCATCGCACGCGCGCAGGACGTAGGGAAAGCTCTCTTCTCTTCTTCTTTTTTCTTCTTTCCTCCCCGCCGTTTCCTCGTTCGCGTTCCTTGATGGAGATCCCGGCGGAGATCTCGATGGAAATCTTCCTAACGGCGTTCTCCGTGATATTCAGTCTGTTAATAGTGTTCCTCCTTGTTGTGATAGGTAAGCACTCGCGTCAGGCCGCTGGTGCGGCCTCTGGCCACGACGTCCTCGCGCAATCGCATCATCGGGGGGACGAAAAAAAAAACGCGCGGATTTCGGGTGTCTTGTTTCGCTCGTTAAAACAGCCTAGTATTTTCTAAATTTGGTGCGACACTTTCGTGCGTGGAGCTCGAGCTTTTTGTGCGCGTCGGTATTGGCGATAAGCTTATCTTCGCATTATGTCACGTTTCGTACAGCTACGTCATTTCTTCGAGTAGCAACAGAGAGCTTGCTGTAGTACGCTTAAGTACTGAACTATGGAATTTTACAATATATGTGAAATTTGTAATTCAAGCTTAAAATTCGAAGTACATTCGTATCGTCAGAATGTCCAAGGGCCAGTTTCACGAACATCGGTTAACTGTTAACTAGGGTTCAGTCGACTCCCTACCTTTTTCCATCTTATTATTTGAGAAGAGACGGAGAATCGGTTATCCTTCGGCTAGCAGTTAACCGATGTTTGTGAAACTGGCCCTAAGGCCCGGTTTCACCGACGTCGCTTAACTGTAAGCTTAGTTTCATTCGTTCTTTGTCTCTTTCCAACTGTTACTTTAGAAAGAGACTAAGAACGAATTAAGCTAAGCTTGAAGTTAAACAACGTCGGTGAAACCGGGCCTAAACGGCTAACTTTATTAGTATGGAGTGAAACCGGAAAGCGTTTTAAGATCTTAGCCCCAATTATAAGACTTAACTGAATACATTTGTTAAAATCATGCGTGTTTCATTATTTTGTTTTTGTATTACTATGTGCCACGTATATATATAAAATATTCATGCGATGATTTGTTTCAACAGGTTGGTACTTAGTCTGGACGTTCTTCCTGTCACGGTTCCGCTTCGTGAGAGAATTAACTGGGAATGGAATGAGTGAATCGTCATCGGTGAACGATTTGAAAACCGGCCGCGCACGCATAAAGAAACTTCGTCGGGATTAAATACCGAACGATATACTGAAGAGCTACCATTATCGATACAAACGTTTGTGCGAAGCGAAATCAAGTTTAGATATCTCGCGACGGAACATACCCGACTGAGACAAGATGTCTGTAAATATACGTTGCGCGACTACGGAAGACCTGCTGAATATACAGCATTGCAATTTGCAGTGCCTACCCGAGAATTACCAGATGAAATATTATCTGTACCATGCTCTCTCGTGGCCGCAGCTGAGTTACGTAGCGGAGGACGAGAAGGGGAGAATAGTGGGATACGTGCTTGCCAAGATGGAGGAGGACTGCGAGGACAATCCCCACGGGCATATTACCAGTCTGGCCGTGAAGCGTTCTCACAGGAGACTGGGCATCGCGCAAAAATTGATGAACCAGGCCTCGCGAGCGATGGTCGAGTGCTTCGGAGCAAAATACGTTTCGTTGCACGTGCGTAGAAGTAACCGCGCGGCCCTGAACTTGTATACGAGCAGCTTGCAGTTCGAGGTATCGGAGGTAGAGCCAAAATATTATGCAGACGGCGAGGACGCTTATGCCATGAAGCGAGATCTAACGAGCTTCCATCACGAGAAGGCCCTTAGAGACCGAGCGCACAAGGAGGGCAATGTTCACACGCATCTAGGTAGATGCTGTGGCGATCACTCTTAGTCCATTCATCACGGCTACTGGCGGAACAGGATTGATTCTCGAGTCACTCACTCGACGAATCTGAGAATAAAACCCGCTGTGTCTTTTGACAAGAAATAACGAGACAATGTCTGGGGACTAATTAAGAAGCTAATTGTGTGAAAACTTTGTTACTTCTTGCACGGGGCAAGAGCATCTACTTATCAAAGTTTGACCTGGTACACTAGTAAAAGTATTTTATATGCGACTGGAGGATACTTGTTAAAGTTTGCACGATGGAATAAGATTGGACTTTGGGACTGTTGTATTTTTCAGTTTACGCAAATGCGCAATGTAATTGAAACTAATAAGTTGACTTATAAATGCGTAAGAAATAAAGAATTCTGGAAAGGGCAATCTATTTAATCTTGACTTCTTTCTTTCATTATAACTTTATTGAATGACTGAAACTGTAATTCACACGTCACGCGCCACTATGCAAAATTAATTGTTCGGGGCGTTGTCAAGCGTGTTGTTAAAAAGTATGGTAGAAAAAAATAATATTTTACAGCACTGAAACGGGCTCGATTTATACAGTTCCTACTTACACCTTAAAGTCGGATCTATTTGTCTCGATATATTTTCATCCTCAAATACTTTGTCTTTCTCGGCTGTATTTTCGGCTTAAAAGTTATTTTTGACATTGCACGATATTTAAATAAGTTTACTCCACTAATGCATCTCGGATGTACCATTATGTTTGTGTATACATACTCCATTTCTGTAATAGGAATAATTATATTATGTATATATATATGTATATATATAATATGTATAAATATATCTATGTACAAATAAGGTGTCCTTAAGGTAACATAATTATTTAGTTTGTAACGCGTCTCGACTTTGCAAACGGCACAAAGGAGTCTTCAATGATAGAACGCAGGAATTGTCCGTGCGCAATTATACCGGAAATACGTGATTAAAGCGTCATGATGATAAACCAATTTTCGATGTGTGGTCAACGTTCCTTTAAGGACACATCGCGCGCGCGCTACATCGAGAGTTTTCGTTTCTAATTTTATTTCGTCTAATCCTGTAATAGCTGCTCTCGGATATGTAGCTCGTAAGTTCGCAGTAATACCGTTACGTATACATTTACGAGTGACCGCGAGGATGATGCCGCAACTATCGCGAAAAGATCATCCAGGTACAATGTGTGAAAGAAAAACCAGGGAAATGACGAGCCGGTGTTCGCGCGGATAGCGACGTTCGTCAGCCTGCGTTTTACAAAAAGGAGAAACCATTCCATTTAATGCTACAACACGACATATCCGAATACGATGATTCGCGGATGATAAGCACCTATAGATTCGACTATCATATAAATTTCTAAATATACAATTCTATCTATCTACCTATATATATATGTATAACTGCCTGCCTATGTATTATAATTACAAAAACACTTCATCAATAAATTATAATACAAGTCTCGTAAACGAGGTTCGTATATAAATGCTTCTCCATGCGCGATATGCTTGGTACATAGTTTCTACAAAAAAATATAAGATAAATGTCATAAGTCGCCTTCAAAGGCTCGCTTCGTCTCTGTTGCACACAACAGTAAATCACATTAGTCAATCTATGAATAAAAAAAAAGACATCGAGAGAGAGATAACTCTCATGAAACAAAGGGAATCGTAATAGACCGCTAAAGCTGCAACAAAAACAGCCAGTTATGTCTTAATAACGTACGTAATTAACAGTTATATCTCCATTGTTTAAACGAGGTGCGGCGAAACTCTTAGATAGAGAGTTGAATGGTTCCGCGTGTTGAGCGAGTGCTATGGTCGGCGAGCTATTTTTAAGTACACTTTCGCACGTGGAGAATGCCGTTAGAACAAGTGCGCCGCAAATTAGCGGTTGGATCGTATACATACTTTTGGCCTCGACAGGCGTGAACTCGAAGAGTAATTCTAGCTGTGATCTCGGATCTTAACGTCAAGTTCGGTTTAGCCTTACTCCTTAAGACTGATTTTAATGCAAGATAGTTTTAATGATTGGGTGATTAAAAAGTAATTCCATGACTGACTTATATAGACAGAAATGCAAAAGATAAAACGAGTGCGATATTTTTCCAACGTATGCGTTATCGGTGTCAGTCTGCCGCAGGACCTGCTAGATCTAATAAAAACATTCGTTCGTTCGCTCTATAAAAAAAAGGCGTCATTGGTCTCGTTGTGCAAAAGGATTCGCGAGTGCGCGTTAGTTGCCGTGGAAAATTTTTGCGCGTTAAACAGCTTACAAATTCGATCCGCCGCTGACTGCGGTTCACGGTGTGTGCGCTTGCGACTAATTCACCGTTATGGAAGAGCCTGGTAAAAAGGCCTGGGCGCCCGAAAAAGTCGTAACCCGGCGGTAAAAGCTTCGTATAAAATTCATTTAAAATTGTCTTCCAAAAAAACTGTCCGCACCAAGTAATATAATTCAGCCTACGCGCGGGGTATTCCAAAAAGATACCGCCCGCTGAGGGGTGTGCGTTGAATTTTCTTGGTGTCAATTTTCCGATTTACGAGTTATTACAAAAAACAGAAACGCGATTGTTCCTCAATTCGACATTGGTATTCATATCGGTCTTTTGCCTTGCGAACAAAAGCGGCGGTGATTCGCTACAGGAAAACACTTCAAACCTGTCGTTGAAACTGCCAATCGCCGATTTTAGCAAATATCAGTTAACTGTAATCGCGAGTTATGTCGCTCTTTTTATTCTAATTCTTTCAAATGAACGGGGAATCCGCGAACCTAAAATTACAGTTAACTGAAAAACCGGTTCTAAAAGAGAGATATGAATACATGTTGTCTAGTCGCGTGTGTATGCTCTACTGTATACATACATCTATAAAACTAACACGTTTAGCTGCGTACGTCGTCGGCGTATATCCGAAATAGACTTTGCGACGTGGCAAGACAGTCTGTGCTTACCAGGTCGCAAATTCGCAAAAGCCACTTCGGAAATGCTTTACTCCTGCCAGAAAGCTATTGGCCTCGTTATACTCCATTTCACAGGTCTACCTGAACGTCTAATTGAACGGCTACATATATTTCCTATGAAAGATTACAATGCTTATATTCTCGAGTACATTACAAAGACACTCGTCCCAGGGTTGTGGTTCTCTTCGTTTCTTACAATCTATATACCGGAGCTTTGGCAGTAGCAGGTTTCTATATTTTAGGCCACGGATTTTCTTTAAAATGAAATGGAATAATAGCTGCACGGGACGCACTAAAGTGCGCGGACATGTTTTTCATCTTCGCGAAGCGTACACGGATCATGTTTGATTATCTCGCCATTTAGTGTCGAAAGTACCGTCAGGATTCTAAGCAGAATTCTTCTGCGCTAGCACTTGTTTTTCACCCAAAAAATAACAGGCGCACTTAGTACTATTGTATCTCTATTCATAAGTGGCTGAATTTCAAAATAACAGTAGCCATCAATGATACGCATCTCCTACAGATAATTCGCTTGAGGGATCACATTCGTGAGAAATTCCTGAGATACTTTTGATCCACTTTTATACAAGAAAGAATATTTTTTTCGCCAACGCGTTGAAGATTCTTAGCGATGTTTCAAACTTCGACGAAAAAAGAAAAAAACCCGCGAAGATTCGGAATGATCCCTCGAGCATCATCTTCGTGTCATCAACGCGATCGGCATCGAGCTCCAATCGCGGGACAAATCCAGAAATGCGTTACGTTTGAATCTTCTACAGTCTCTCGAACTTTTCTCCGTCAAGGAAACTCTCTCGAAGACTGCTGCATCTCAGTTGAAGGAACTTGTGGTTTCGCGTCGTGACGAGGATTTTCCTCAGGGCTGTTGAGCGGCGTGTATCATGGCGACCTTGAGATCCTTGGCCAGGTGTGAGACGTCGACGACGCTGTCGACCATCTCCTGGACCGCGGTGACGCTCGGGAAGAACTGGGCGGCCTGCTTCGTCTTCTGCACCGTCTGCGCGAGCGCCTCGTTCAGGGAGTTCGCACATTGTAGCACGCGCGTACGCACGTCGTTGCGCGTCACGTTCCGGTGCACCGTGTCGCCGATATGCACTAGCCGATGCGCACTCAGCACGACGAACTTTCCGTGAGCCAGAAAAACCTGTAAAACAATTCCACGCTTCAGACCTTGCTTGCGGTTCATCTCGATGAACAAATTAAAAAATTAAAGACTATCTGAAGAACTGATAATGTGAATAAATGATTATTTGAACGGGTATTCCTCGTTCAATTTTTATTATAAATTTAATTTTATTATTCGTGAAAAGTTGGTGAAAATCAGAAAGACAGTCCTTGCGCAATCACGAAGTGATTAACGATTACTAAATCTGCTAAATACTGTTAATTAAATACTATTTTCGTTGTATACACACTTTTATACGTCCCTGGGACAGTTATATACTTTACCGTTCTGTTTATCGTATCTTTGATGTATTCTAAGGTTCGAACATTATTTTCTAACTCTATCGTTTCGTTCTTGATTGCAATACACGGCGTATGCTTTACTAACTACTTATCTTTAACCGCAATGCCGGTTGCGTGCAATGCACTTGCGAGGGAAAAAAAGAGGTCATCGTGAAAAAGTAATGGAAACATGCAGCTGACGTGCGCTAACTTAAGGCACTCTGTCACACAATAGCACCGTCGATATCTACGGTTCTATCATTCTTATCGAGACTGTTGACCCATATGCACATGTGCTTAAAGGCTGTTTCGTGATACGAAGACGTGCAATGCTCGAACCAAACGTGAGGAAGTGAAGGAAAATTTTCGCCAAGTCTCCGGAGTGATTGCAAAATAGATCTAATCAACTTTTGTCGCATCAGACGATACTATTGGTCGACCAACGCTTAATGCGTTAACTTGTACGAAATAACTTATGTAATACAATTTACAAAAAGTGTCCTTACAGAGGAGAACGATTATAGAACATTCAAATCTCAATTTTTATTGAGACGAGAACGACGCCGTTTGTTACTTTAGCCGACAATCAACGTAGCTCGATGTCGTCGTGTCCCACGTGAAAGAGCGCGACGGGTGGTGCCGGTGTTACAAGAGCTGTTACAATTCAACTCGCCTTGGGTGGTTGATTATGCTCCACCGTTTGCAGAAAGGCGTCGATGGCGTGAGTCAGGTGCGCGCCGTGCGTGATGACCTGGGCGACGTAGAAGGCCAACAATTGCTTGTCGTTGGGGTCCATGGGCGTCGGTGTCGTGGGTGGCATTTGAATCGCGGCATTGTCCGCCTCGGACACCAGCAGATCGTAATTGCTGCGCAGCTCCTGCGGCAGCGTGGCTCGCAGTTCCTCTCGCTGCTTCGCCACGACCTCTCGCGAGTCGAGATTTACGTAGTCATAATCCTCCCCGGCGCCGCTATTGTTGCTGCTGCCCGTGGAGATGATCGACGCCCGCTTAAAGAGCAACGTGGAATTTCCCTGCACACACAGAGCTCCTCTATAAGCAACAAAGGCTCATTCCTTAAATGTCGTCCGCTTTATTCACACGATACAACATCCCAAGATATAAAAACAGAAGAAAAATTTTTTATAATTAACAATTTCGCCAGTTCTTTAATTTCGAAATGAAACACTAGATTTGCAAGTGCTAGATCTACAAGTACTCGGTCACGCTCCGGTCTTCGAATATTGCGGACGCTTCCAATTTTGCGTTTTCTCTTTTTACAACTTGACCCACATACTCTTGTCTCGAACACGCATTTTTAAGATCGTGCTTGAAAATGACCAAACCAATGGTCGAGACGTCGCACTATTAATATATCACAAATTATATTAATTTTAATAACTACTATTAAATTGCCTCTGCATTTTTTTCCTCGTCTTTCTCCGTCCATTTTAATTCTTACAAGGAGAATCGCAAACAAGAAAGTGGACTTGGATTTCAGTTAATTAAAGATACAAATGAGTAGAAGAAAAAAAAATGAAAGAAATTTGAAGACTAGTTCCTCGATTAGTAATTCGTCAGCTCGATACAAATTAATGCACCCTCCTTCTCTTCAGGGACATTGTGATGATTCAATTGGCGCATTGCTACGTCGGAGGTCGGAAGTCGTAACAAATACACTAAACTACTCACGGCTGCAAAAGATACTTACCTGAATGAAACTAGCGACCTGACGAACGTCTTCCGTGAGTGCCCGAGCGCACGCGATCAGCTGGTCAAGGGGATCCGTCTGCACAGGTAGCAGCAGCGAGGACGGGGGTCCGTTAGTAGGTGTCGGTGTATCACCGCTGCCACGACAGAGCTTGCACGCGTCCCACTCCATCGTGTCCAACTCGGTAGCGGCTTCCTGCACGAGCTTGTCAGAATCACGAAGCGCCTTCACCAGCGGCCGTAATTTCGTGGCCAGGCCCTTATCTGGCGCTTTGCCCGCATTGCCCAGCGTTCCTGCGCGCAGAGCACAATGGTTCAAATTTCAACAGCAATATTATACTCTATCGTTCATTGAAAGATAGAACGGATTGTTGTGATTTCGAAAGAGATTGCGAATTCAAAAAAATAGAATTCTGCCTCGAAATCTCTAAAGTAGACTTTAATGTACGATATACAATTATTTCTATTAGCAACTCTTTTTTGTGTAAAAACATCAAAGATATAATAAAATTTATAATACAATTTTCTTCTACGAAAATTTAAGTAACTAGTTGAACGTAAGAAATAAAAGTTATTTACAACTAAATTTCAACGAGATCCTTTCAAGATGCAAATCAATTAGAAACGTAAGAGCCATTTAGGACCCGACACAGGTGGAGGTAGCCAATTAAATTACTAAGTGAAAAGTAATTTATTTAGAGAAAAAGAAAAATTTTGGAATGCTAATGGAAATAATTATATTTTATTTCGTTGAGACAACGATAGTATTTTCAACTGCGTTGAAGACGTTGAACTGAAGTTAATTTCTTCACCTTCCGCGAATTCGGCTAGATCGTGAAGAGACGTTCTTAGCCTGAGTGCAGCCAGCCTCAGGTCCATGAGGGTGGCGTCCAATCGCTGCGGCGTCCTCCAACCGGGGCTCACGAAGCCCAGTAGCCTCGCTATCGCGGCGGACGCCTCGCTCTGCAGCCTCTGCAGACCTTCCAGGGCGGAGTCCAGCTCCAGCGGAAGCTCCTTGCTGACTGGCACATCGTAAATCTGTTGCGAGGGTGGCGGCGGTGTCGGGGTCTTCGGTATCGGGGTGTTGTGTCGGGACGGCAACGAGGACACTGGAAGACGCGGTCGGGGCACATCGTAATCCGGGGCGGCCAAGCTCGATCTGGAAGCCAGGAGAGGATTCGTTATGCACGCGGCGAAGACGCGAGGCAACATTTCGGCGGATCGGAAACTCTTTAAATTTATCGCCGACGGCACTGCCAAAATTTCCAAGCGGGATGGGGGGAGGACTCGCAATCCTGGAATCTCGGATCCCCGAGGCATCTCAGACGCAGCTCTCGCAATACCCTTTAAATCATCCGTTGCGAGATTCTTGAAACTCTATTCAGCTCCTGATTTATGTCTCGCGCGAGAAACTTCTCTCGCGGATACGCAAAGTTTCGCGAGATTCCCCGAGACCTCTGGAGCCCGAGAGGAGCGTACAAATCCGGTGGACGTTACCATAAAGCCGCGGCCGTACGTCCGGGGAATTTCCCGGGGCCGAGCGACGCGACGTATCGCGGCAATGCGAGCGGGGATGTACCTGTTCGATCCGCTGAGGGAGCCGTCGTTGGTGAGGCTGGAGGCCGAGCTGCTGGGCGTGAGGGGCTGCAACGGTCGCGGCACGTCGTAGCAATCCAGCGGCGTAATGCCGGAGCCGCCGGAGCAATTTGAGTTGGGCGTGCAGGATGTCGGCGGCCTCGGGATGTCGTAGCACGACGGAGCCGGGCTCGGGCTGCTCGCCGGCGACGGGATCACCGGGATCGCGCGTGGCGGCACGTCGTAACACTCGTTCACATCACCGCCGCCCCCGTTGTCCACGGAGGTCCGCGCGTTGTTGCTCGTGTAGCGGCCTGCGCAGGCGGAAGTTAACAAAACTTGAATCCAGGGAATCCAACGGGATCACATCAGCTTCCGAGCGCCCGATCTGGCTCCTCTGAATGAAGTTAGCGCGAGACGTTTCGCTAATGGGACTTTTAAAAGCCCACATAGACTTCTTGCTTACGGACGAAGTTTGTGTTGGTTGATTTTTTTATAATAATAAATTATGGTAATCAAGAATACTTAACGTTTAATTATAGAGTAATGTGTTTTATCGGAAGAAAATCTAGAAAGAGGGGAGTCTTTATTAAACGCAGAGGAAAGTCCTCTATTATAAGATAGTAGGTTTCCGACGTCCAAATTCAATCACAAATCTTTTTTCGCAACGATTGCACGATCTAACGATCGGTTTTCCATTGAACAGATTTCACTCCAAGGGCAATAAATTCATGGTGGAACCAACAAATGATGCCCATTGATTTAGCAGAAACTCCGCTATCTCATATTAGGAACCTATCTCATAATAGGGAACTTTCCTCTATATTTTTCTGTATTCTTCTGCACACGGAGAGAATTTTCTCTTAAAATTTACCTTGAAATCATGTAATCGTGAGACAACACGACATTTCGAAGAATTTTATGATAGTTTTTTGAAATTTTACCACACATTTTACTAGTAAAATTTCCAAAAACTCTCATATAGTTCTTCAAAATGCCATATTGTCCCACGATTACATGATTTTCAGGATAAATTTTAAAAGAAAATCATCTCCGTGTAGTACATTTTTTTTCCTTAAAATTGTTACATATTGCAAAAAGATAAAATATTTTTTAGAAGGTGGAATAATAAAAATTGACTCAATTTTGCTAATCTAAATCCAGCAAGATATACTGTAAGCGGATTAATATTTCAAAATCGCTAAAAGCTTATGAATCAACTCCAAAACTGGGATTTGTATCTCGCCGTAAATTCGATTAAAAATTAGTGGCTATTAATCATTCCGAAAACTAATCGACGCGTCAAGTTAATCAATATCTCAGTTACTGAATAAGCTTCAGCAGACGGCTTTATCGCGACCGCCATTCGATTATAGGCGGAATGTTTAGTTTGTGAATAATACGTACCCGTATTGTGCGAGTGCTCATTGTTCGTCGAGTTGAGGGGTGAATCGTGTCTGGAGGGTGGCGCGGGACTTCCCCGACTCGCTGGGAGATCGTACAGGTAGACGTCCCCACACTTCTGCGGCGTCACAACCTGCGTAATCGAAAACAGCAAAGCAATTAATTATATCCAGATTAATTATCCGAGTTGTTCTGCGTTTTGTGTTTCCACCAACTGCACCCGTTCGCAGTTGGTTCATTTTTCGTCGTGGTTTCCCCGCGCAACAGTTAATCGCATTAACTGCAAATGTCATTTTAACCGTACTTACTTAAAGTCTAAATTATCACTATTTACTAATTCTTATACGTTCAAATTATTCTTCAAATCAAGTGTACCGTATGTGTGTAAAATTAACACAACTCTAAGATAATATAATATACAAATACACAAATTAAGGAAACGAATGATAATTAGAGTCCTTCTAATCAGAGTCTGGTCAGCAGACAACTCCCAGAAGAAAGGCAGAGAAACAGAAAGAGAAGGAAGGAGAAAGAAAGAAACGGAGACAGCGAATCTAGAGGAAAGCCCCATATTATGAGATAGGCTCCTAATATAAGATAGCGGAGTTTCTGCAAAATTAATAGGCATTATCTGTTGGTTCCACCATGAATTTATTGCCCTTGGAGTGAAATCTGTTTAGTAAAAAATTGATCGTTAGATCGTGTGATCGTTGCGGAAAAAGATTTGTGATTGAATTTGGACGTTGAAAACCTACTATCTCACATTAGAGGACTTGCCTCTATATCCTTTTCTCTCGCAGACAATTGCCAGAACTGGCCTGTTGGCCAGACTCTGATTAGAAGGATTCTAATGGCGGTAATTTATTACCATTAAGAGAATATGAATATTGCTTCTTCTCTTTAATGGCTTTCTTAAAGATAACAAATGTATACGTGTTTTCAAGAATATAAATTAATATTTCTCGTTGCATAGTGTTTGTCACCACGCAACGATGAGGAAAGCGCTTTAAAATACATTTCTAAGACCGCGTGCCCTTTTCAGAGCCACTGTCTCAGCTGCAATCCACATTCTCGTCTAATTAGGCACTGCAATGTCACATGCGCCAAACGCAAATGTTATCGTGGCTGCGTCGTTTCCCAGAACTTTTCGACAATCAACTTAGGGGAAAAAGAACAGATAATACCGGAGGCTGATTCGATAGACGCCGCGAGAGAGCTAAATCCACGCGCACCGCGCCTGTGACGAAACTCGTAACGAAGTTATTTGCACGAACGCCAATCAGCTCTGTTACTCTTTCCACTGTGCGCGATGTGACCTCGAGGATTCTCGTTTGAGTGCAGCCCGCCGCAGCCGTGGATTAATTCTACGAGATCGCTAATTGAGTTTCCTACGAGGAGCGAGGAGGATTCGGGGAGAAAAAAAGGGAAATTTCCATTTCCTATTGGCGAAATCGCCGAAGCGCCGTTCTTTCGGTGGGAAACACACCGTAAGGTGCGTTCACGATTTATTTTGCACATCGTACGAAAACGTTTCGCAGTAGGTAACTTGGTAAACGCGACTTTTTGTGAAAAAGAATACAATTATGACATTAACAAATTTAATCGCTACTTTTTGAATTTTCAGAAACCAACCATTTTAATTACAATTTTATTGAAATAAAGTGCATTTGGAAAATGAGATTTTTGCCCACCGACGTTCTCGAGACTCGTTAGAAATGATTAACGTGGCATATTTCAACAACTTCGGATTAAATGTCCTACGGATTAAACGTCCAACCACCAGCTGGACGTAACGGCGACGCAAGCCTGCACATTTCGAGCGTTGAACCGTCGGGAAAATGTAATTCCGCTGATAAAACGTGAAAGCGTGGAAGTCGATGCGACGGGTAAATACGGGAGAAAAAGGGGGCGAAACATCCCCCAGGAGAGTGTAATCTCGGAGGCTCATCGGCCGCTGCTTTGCAATAATAGAAGCCCCGCAACTCTTGCGTTACGCGTAAGCGTCCTACTCTTTTGTTACCTACTCTTTTCTTTTTCCCTTGTAACGTCTCGGTGCACGAACAATAGCGGTTGAGGACTTTCCCTCTCGTTGGTATCGGTAGAGTACCGGCGATTTTTTATTGCCGTAAAAAAAAAACAGAGATCAATAAACATGTATTTATATACTAAGTACCTGTAAAAAGTCAACCTGTGAGGTTGAGAGATAAAAATTCTTTGGATATGTACGTAAAAGTACATATAAATTTCACTTCGAAATACGTTTTATGTTTTTTGCAAGTACATTAATAGACGGGAGAAAAATAAGTGTCAGATCAACTCTTATGTACTCAAATTAACGCGTTCATTGCTTCGTGTATACGCAATAATCTATAATCTTCTTAGAAGCATTTAATAAACTTACATTCCAACAATATTACCGTCTTATTTAAATACTATAATTGTCACTTTAAAAATACATATAATCGTTCTAACAATAAAATCGTTTTATTCGTTAAACGTTTGCTAGTAAAGAGAAATTTTGAGTCTAAATTGTGAGAACCGAGTCCCGTTTATTTTGTGGCTCACGTTGGCACTCTCTCTCCTTTCTACATTTTTTTTTCACAATATTTTGGTATTAATCATTAATCTTCGATTTGAAAATAGGCTATTTTCTATCCAATATTGTTTTCTTTCCATTCAAGAAACTTATTCCTAAATAATAAGCATATATATTTTTGACTGAATTATATAAAATTGCTTCATTTAAGATAATTTCATTTCAAGATTTTCACGTTGAAATTAAATATATTTTCGAAAAAGAATATTCTTTATTTCTGTGTATACATGTCGCCTTGAAAATATCGAGTATTGAAACAGCTGCTGCAAAAAGCGACAGGTAGAAAAATTAGCTTTCGATAAAAGGAAGCTAATTTTTTTCCTTGCTTTCGCCTCAGACACATTTTTTAAGTAAGAGATAAAAGATTAAGAGTGTGATCTGTAACGTAATACAGGGGGAAGTTAGAGATATTATATAGCGCAACGTGTGAGAGAAACGTGGAGGAAACGTCGGACACGCCCTGCGCATAAAACGGAGCAGCCTCGACTACGATATCGCCGTAAAGCTCGCGCGGTCGGCAGAAATCCGCAATTCGCTGACCGACGGCCAGTTTTGCGCTACTCAAGTGGGACAACCGGCTTCTACTTACGGCCGAAAGTTCCCGCTCGGCGAAACTTCGCCGTGTATTCAGGAGGACAAGGAGGGATCGCGCGCGTGCAAGATGCGCTCCTTCAATGTCCACGGAAACGTCGGAAGATAGGACGCGAATCTGGGTCAGTTCTTATCGGCCGGGCGGCAAGAACCCATCCACCGAATAACACGATGCCACAACCACGAACCAATCCTCGGCTCCCTTCGACAAATCATTTCGACCCCATTTGATTCGCCGACCGGGCGCGCTTGCGAGAAACCCGGGGACGATTTGTTTCAGCGCCGTCGAAGTGCTTGGCGAAGGCGACAGCGCATGCAAATGCGAATGATGTAACCGCGTGAAATTCTAAAAATGTTACGCTGATTAATTCTTGTTACATGTCATGAATATCGCGCGCACGTAAGAAGTTATTTTCCTCTCACCGATCATGCGAGAGACCGCGCTGTGATTTTATCTTCGTTTACAATCAGACTTTACGCGAATAGTTATGACATAAAGGCCTTTCCGCACTTCTTCCAAACGAGCAGGCGCTGTTTAAAACAGTAACTTCTCGCTGATTAATTAAATTGCTCGGAGCCTTCACTCTGCCAGTTTTGGAATTATTCCGAAGCTGGGCCAAATTCGATGTAAAAGCTCTCGGCATCGAGAGAACAGTAAGATTAACGAAATGAAGTTCTGAGCGTCGAATCGAAATTTCGGAGTTCAGGCACACGAGATAGACCAATGGAAAGCCCTCTTTCGAAAGAACAGCTCTCTGCACTAATTGCCCGCTCTGCAAGCTCGAGTTCCTTCTTGCGAGCGCACACTCTCGTGAGAAGGTAGCCGTTACCCGGAACCGGGAAATGTGCTAATTATGCCATAACTCACCTCTTGATTATAGCTCGCCTCTTATGCGACAAAGTTGAGATTACCCGTCACGATTTACGAAGATGAAGACTACAGACAGCGGCTGTTTAAGTGAGACAAATTGATGAGGTGAAAAAATAACAAAAAAGATATATAACTAAGTTTATCCTTTCAGACCAAGAGAAGATCCCGAATGAGTTATTTCTAGTTCTAGGAACTAGTTATTTCGTTTCCATTCATGGTTAAAAACTTGCAGTGCACTCATAAAGAATTCAAAGCATCCATCCCAGATAGCACACGTAGTTCTATGAATATTTGGTGGAGCGCAAATATTCTTAATTTCAGAATATTCTCTCTCGATTCGAATATTCTATAAATATAACATAAGATAAATACATAAGAATGGCCTATGGAATATTTGAAATATTCTTAAAGATTATTCTTCAAATGTTTACAAGAGTGTCTCGCGCTATCTGGGATTGTCTATTTTTTTTATCTATATCTTCTATTATTGTAGAAGATATGGATTGGAAATGGATACAGCTAATTATATGTAACGCTGAAATACTTCGGGAGACCGGCGATGATTGTGAACGAGATAATTAATAGCCTAATAATTTATGTCAATAGCGTTGATTTATAAACATATCATTTTTAAGTTCTATATAACCATCTTTCGCGAAATCTCAGATAACTTCAAATCCTAGTTGGACTATAATATAAAGAATCCGACGAGGTCAAGATCGGAAACGTATAAAAATCGGGACAGCAACTTCTTGACCCAAGGTACCACATACATTGTATGTATTATATAAAATGTATACACGAGTATATATAAAAATAAAAGTATAAGTATAAAAAAACTTTTATACTCTTTTATAAATTCTTACACTACGCAAAGGACTTTTTCAAGTTAATAAATAATTTCGCAAGACCCGAATTCTGTGGAAAAAAGTACTCCTACGAAAAGTTAAAATTGAGTTATTAAAGTTCTACGTTTCAGTGCGCATATATCTTATTTCTTTGCATTCGATTCATTGCATAGAAATCGGAGCTGTATTAATGTCCGCGTGATTAACAGCGGATCGATCAACATTTT